ATTCGCAAGTAAAGAACATCTGCTAGCAGGAAGTGAAACCGGAAAAGAAAAAGAAGAAGAAGAAGAAGAAGATGACGAAATATATTATTTGCTCTAACCAGTTGACAATAAATTTTCCTCGTTGCTTAATTCAGAAAATAGAAATCCTTGCTGAGTGCGTGATGTCTATTCATGCATATTTCAAACTCTAATCTCCGGTTAGTAAGAAAATGATTTTCAAGACTCCCATAACCAAACGAGTCAAAACTTGTTTATGAAAGAGGAGAATTCTAGGAAACATACATCAAACGGAAATGACGAGTGATTCTGTGAGTAACCGATGAGTTGTAACAAGTTAAGAGCAAAATAAGATCAACATTCGGTTTCAATCTTATGAACCTCTATGTTTGTGAGGGGGAGATGAAGAACTCGTTAGAATAACAATCATATCCTTAGTGAGAATACAAATTGAAGAGTTTAAATAGAATGTTTTCTTTCATTCATCTACAGAACCCCCGTGATGCTCCGCAACCTTTTTTCCCATTCTCCTCTTAAAATCCTCCATGACTAACCGTCTTTGCAGCATTTTCAATCATTTTCCGTGTCAAATGTGGAATTATCAGAAAAAAAACAAGAAAAAACGAGCTTTTTCCTTGTTTAATTGATGTTGTGCATAAGAAATTTCGGGCATTTTCTGACAAACGGTTGACAACGAGTGTCATTTCAACGATAATTGCAGTCATCCGAAGACAATTCATCTTCACAGATATCTATTTCCTGCAGCTTTTCCGATGGTAAACGACATTATACAACACGGCTATTTAAGGACAGAATCTCTTCGAAATTTGTGATTTTTTCCGAATTCCCCACAAAAATCACCGTAAATAGAAATGGGTTCCAGGTTTTGTGCTAATCTGATAGCTCTTCTTCCGCAAAAAACAATAAAAAATGTCTTTTTAATATAATTTGCTCTTGAAAACCGTAATCGAAACGCACTTAGATGTAAAGGAGATATTTTGGTAAACAAAGCCCACTTGATATTCTAATATCCTGCCACTTTACTTTCCTCTCCCATTTTTTCATTAAAAATAAATGACACTTCAAATTTGAGCTCCGCCTATGTAACTATAAAAATTATCTATTTCACAACAAAAATCTGTCTCTCTGTCAGCTTTCATCGAATTGCTTTTCATTCGACTCGCTTCTAATTTCCTTCTCTCTTTTTTTTTATAACTGTTGCAAAAACATTATTATTATAATACAATTTTCCAGCTATGAGACTTGGAATACAGCTTCTTCTTGCTGTTGCGTTTCAACTTCTATTCTATACACCTCTTGCTACATCAGCACCTAATCGCATTCTCATGCGTTTCGGCAAACGTGCTATGGCAGATGTGGTTCTCACAAATCCATCTTATTCTTCAGGAACAACTGAAGAAGCCAATTCAGCTGAGCTACCAGATTACCAGTCGCTTGAACAGCATCCATTAAGAGTATTAAGAGCTGAACCATTTTTGAATGGGTAACAATTAAATGACTTCTTTTATATCTAATTGCTCATCATTCAGACGTCTGGTCAGCGGGTTTTATGTGAATCAATAAGAAGTAATATACATGATAGTGCATGACCATTGGCAAAACGTTCCGAATAATTTGTTCACAATCGATTAAAAATTCAATTTGTTATTGTTATTTTCTGTTTTAAATGAATACCAGCTTTCAACACCATCAGAATGATCTCAGAGGAAAACGATGATGCTCATTGCATGTCAAGTGAGAAGGAAATCAAAACATCTTATTGTACAAGTAAGCTCTTCCCTCTACGATTCAATCCAGCCGTTCAACATGTTTTGCAATCATGTTTTTGATATACATCACACGTCTCTCACACATTTTTCGAATACAAAATTAGCGTACCTTGATAATGACGTCCTCCACATTATGATCGTTGACTCCAACTTCCGAAGACAGATACAAATAGTTATCGCTTGTCAAATAGTATCGAGCTGGACGTAAACCGTTCCTATCAAGTATAGCACCAATGTATTGACCATCAGAGAACGCCAATAATGCTAAAGATACAAGCTTAGTCTTCCGAATTAATATAAATAGTTTACCAGGCCCATCCCATGGTTCCATAGTCATTGAAGCCCAACGATAGAAGTTTCTCTTGGTATGATCCATCTCCTGAACGTTCAACAGATTAAAAGATAAATTAGCTATCAATTACGTCATCTTTCTCCCACGCCTCTGGAACCATTGTCATTGCTGCTTCTGGGAGCGAACGTTCTCCAACATGAACAAGGAACTCAAGAACATTATCGAAACATCCAGAATCAGTTTGACCCTACATCATAATACTTAAATAAGTTGCAAATGAGTCAATACCTCTTCAACAATTGGATAAAGTTTATCCATATCATCTCCAAACTTGTCGCTTTTCATGATTCCCTCACGAGCTCTCATCAGATTGATGTTTCCTCTCAGTGTGTTGATTTCTCCATTATGAGCAAGCATTCTAATGATTATAAATAAGAAATAATTTATTAAAATGAATAATTATTACCTGTTTGGCTGAGCTCTTTCCCAACTTGGGAATGTATTAGTGGAGAATCGAGAGTGAACCAGAGCAATATGAGAGATGAAATCCGGATTGGTGAGATCAGCATAGTATTGGAAGAGCTGTTTGGTATTGAACTGACCCTGTAATATCATATATTAATAGTTACATATCATGCATTTGATTACCTTGTATACTATAGTTGAGGTTCCGAGCGAACAAACGTAACAATCAACACTCTGTTTTGCCATCATATTGACTGTCATCTTGCGAAGTTTATAAATATTCCGTTGGAAGAGTGCTATATCTATATCTACATAATCAGCTGTCACGAAAACCTAAAAGGACATGTATGATACTGTTTCCGGTTGTTGATTTACTTGACGAATAAGCGGTTCCGTTTTCTTTGCTTCTTCGCCGATACATGATCGATCAGTGACCATCTTCCTCCAACAGATAACCCGAACATTGTTGTAACGGGCGAGATCTCCGAACGCTTCCTAAAACAAAAGAAAATGTTAAACTAAATGAATGATATCATTACTTTGGCCTGTTTATAAGAATCAGGGTTCAAAAAGAGAATTCCTGTTGCGTAGTGTCCAGGTTTCGGCAATTCAATGTCATCAGACCTAAAAAAAAGTTGATGATTGATCTTCACATGATGGGTTCATACAGTTTAATTTCTTTTCTATAAAGTTCATCAGGAATAGCTGTCATTACACCAGCACCATCTCCCGAATCGTTATCACATGCACAAGCTCCACGATGAGCCATCCGTTCCAACATGACACGAGAATCACAAAGAGTCTAAAAATAATCGAATGTCATCTCATAATCTCATGATAATCATCTAAATGATTTAATGTTTCTCCTAATTACCTTATGAGTGCGAACTCCTTTGATGGAACAAACAAATCCAACTCCACAAGCATCACGTTCTAATTGCGGAAGCCAGAGAGTTTCCTCAGCAGCTTCCTTGATTTGCATTTTAGTTAGAACAACCATGGTTAAACAATCTTTTCAGTTCTCTGAAAAAGAAGAGAATAGAGAATTCGCATAGAGAAGTATCACAAATAAGAAGAGAATGAACGAAAACAATCAAAATCATTATAAATATAACACTTCTGATTTCACAACTTCCAAAGAAATTGCAAAAAAATAAAACAGGATCATGATCCAAAAATGGACACAATAATAATTGTTACAGTAAAGCAAATACCAAAAGAAACGCATGAAGTAAACTATCAAATAATAGTTATGACCAAAGAAGAATACAAAGGTAGAGAGAGAGAGAGAGAGAGAGAGAGAGAGAGAGAGATAGAGAAAGAGAGAGCAATGCATCAGCAAACTTATTAGAAAAACGAAAAAATGGATACCTATGTGGCTGCAACTATTACTACAAAGGTCAGATAATCAATATTAACAGAGCAACTGTTGTTCCAAAACTCAAAGGCAACTATCATAATAAAAAGATAATCATTAATTTAATTTCTATATATGGTCATAAGGAATGTTCAAAGGTCATCAATGATTAGTTTTAAATAACAAAGTCATGTGTTGTAATGTTCCAATAGGACAAAATACATTTTCGGGGGGGGAAGGTATGACACTTTCTCTTTCTCCCTTTATCTATCTTATCAATATATGAAAAACAATAACAATATTTAAGAAATAGGCGCGAATATATCAACCAAAAGCATTTTCAATTTATAAATAGAGAGTAAAGAGGTATAGAGATACGCAGAGAGAGAGATATATAGAGAGATACAGAGAGAGAGAGAGAGAGAGAGATGAAGAGAGATGAAGAGGAGAGAGGTATACTTGTTTATATGAATGAGATATAAATAATAAAATACTCATAATATTTGTTAAGAAAGAAATATAAAATAGATATAAAATTTAGAGTTCGATAGGTCAGCAGATGTTTCGAATGAATCTGTTACTGTTAACCTCAAATGAGAGGCGTCACATCCTAGAGATCAAATCTTTACTAGGTCATCTTGCTCAACTAGACTACACTCAGTTCATAGGTCAAAGTTTAAAAAAACATTTTTTTTGTTGTTGTTACAAGATAAAAGTCTAACGTGCTGATGCAGACGGTCATTGAATACAAAATACAAATGATCAAATGGAAATAGGATGGAACGCATTGAAAGAAACAAAAATGGAAAATTTTTGAGTCTTTTAAGACATTTTTGAGGATTACATAGATGAGCAATGATTCATTTTGCCTTCTCAGGGATCAAACTTAGTTGTTTGTGGCTGCTATGACTTACAAATGGATTTGTTTGCGTAGTAATGTTAAGCAGTGAGGACTAAGCTAGACATATTACAATTTTTAAGATAAAAAGTATCACACAACTTCCGTTACAACAGCATAGTTAAGAAGAAACTGAATTTGAATAATTGATTTCTTTCTAGTTTGTTGTCAAAGAGCAAGTAAGATGTGAGATGTAGAAGAACTGTGAGATATAAGATGAGATGTTGAAAGAGAATGTTCATCTCACTCATTCACTTTTTCATCAAAGAACAAATTTCTTAAGCGAATGTTCTTTTTTGTTACGTAACTGGAGAGAAAAGTTTTAAACTCAATTGCCTTTCACTCTTCTCTCTCCCTCATTCTCTCTCAATCTTTTGATTACGTCAGAAAGGTGAAAAGCAGTTGTATATTGGAAATAATAAAAAAAACACAGAAAGACAGAAAGAGTTGAACTGAACAAGCGAACTTCCGTCCATTCCTCTTTTCTTTTTCATTTTAAATAACTAGAGATAGAGAGGCTTAATCACGCATTCTCTCTTTTCTTTCTTTCTTTACTTTCTGTTTAACAAATAGAAAATGGACAATTATAAATTGTAATTTGCATAATGGTCAGATCTATAACAGAGAGAAAAAGGAAGGAGTTTATTATTCTTCAAATTCACTCTCTCTCTCTTTCTCTCTCTCATTCTGATGCTCGTATTTGTTTTTAGCTTTTCCTCCATTTTACGAGAATTCTCGTCTGACAGCAGTCATCTCGTGCCTGCCGCTTTGAAAGTCTTTGGCGTCAACAAATTTGGAAGGCATGGAAGCGTAAATGTTGAAGATATAAGCAGAAGAGAAGAAAAAACTGAGAGAACGAGAATTGGATTGAATAGGATGTATTGAAATCGATTATAATTCTTTTTTTGTCTCTTTATTGCTATATAAGCAAAGTGGAATCTGCTTGTATGGCAATAAAGGAAAGAATGATGAGAGTGAATGAATGTGTTACTGCAAGAGTCTCCAATCTTATAAAGTTAGATAGAGCGTAGGGGCAAACGTGCTAAAAACAGATTGGGATTGAATGAATGGAATTAAAACTCTTTCAACAGGATTAGTTTGAAATGTGGAGAGTGAAATTGTAAAATAAAATGAATTCTAAGAGAAATGTTTCGTCTCGATTAAAACAAAAGATTGATAGATCTAAGAGGCTAATATTGGGATTCAAACTAAACATGACGCTTATCCCTTCTATGACGTGCAAAAAGGAAAAAAAGAGGTTTTTGGTTGATTGTAAACCACTTGCTCACGAAAACTAGGCTAGTAAACTTGAGTTGGAATTGATGGGTTAAGCAAGAGTGCATCTTCAAAGATGAACACAATTACGAAGAACGTTGAAAATCAATCATTCTCATATATAATCTCTTCAAAGGGTTTTCAAGTACTCAAAAATCTCCTAATATTGATAAAAGTTGGAAAAGCAACTAACGTCCAATTTCATCTATCGATATGAGTGAGAGAACGTTATAGATATCTATCATTCCATATGACGTCGCATGTTCCAGAGATGAAGTTACAACTGAAATATATAATCAATGAGATGTTCTTGAAGAGTATATCAATAGTTATCTTTTCAATTGAGAGCGTTCTGTTGTCAATAACTCATATTGCCATTGAAAAAATGAAATGTCAAGTAGATGTGTATACCTTCCTGATACGTATCATGGCAACCATCATCTTCAAATATCAATTGTTTCAAGAACCAGTGAATCATTCAATATTACTTTTATCGCTTCTTTCTTATATCATGATGGGTAGACTACGTTTTCCCATGTTCTCCAAATTATGCTCATCTCATCATGAAAACGGAGATAGATATGATATCTTGGATAAATCTTGGATGGTACCTGCAGCAATGTCATTCTCAAGAGATGATGACGAATGTGAGCTTCTTTTTCATACTTTCATAACTTATAAGTTATTTAAGTTCATGAAAACAAGACTTTCAACCTGCGAAATCTGATTCCGGAGTTGTGCACGACTTGTGAATACAAGGATGAAGTACAGCCTTCCGAGTGTACCATTGTAGGACCTCCTCTTGGAATCGCTACTTTTAAGTTTCTAGGAGGCTACAATACTTTGGGTGAGAGCATTTTACCTGCCTTACCGCATAACGATATTTCCATTTAGCCTTAGAAATTCTGTCACTTCGTGAAATCAAAATTTTCTTTGAGTGTGAAGACTGTTCCGAAATTCATCGATTTACTTCTGGACCCTGCGTTGTCAAGAATGCATATAGAATTCGTTTTCTATCACCTATGACAATCTCTAAATACGATGTATTCCCTGATGAATTAGCATATAAGGGTAAGCCCAATGACTTGATGAATAATGTGAGTTGATGTTGTTTTTCTATTATAACTTACGTTGTAACTCAAGAAAACCGACTGGAGCCTCATTAACGATTTGTATGATATGCTTGATGAAGACTGTAAGAAACTACCAACCCGCAAGTACAATGTAATCCTTTTCATGTTCATTCATGATTTTTATTCTTTTCTCTTTGTTCAGCCAGATTTTGTAGAAGAACCTCTTATCCCACTTGAGCAAGCGAATTATCAGCAGAAGCATGCTTATTACTGTGTCAGACATTTCACATTGAGTGAGCATTTGGATTTCTTCTATGATGAAAATGTACCGTCGACTGAAAGCGAATATGAAGATACATTGTAAGATTGTTTAAAACAAGTAATAATATTCTCATCTCTTATTCTTCCTTTTTCAGTCTGCATTTTCTTATGAAGGATGCATTTGTCGATACACAGGTGGATGCTCTACGAAACTTCTTCTATGACTCTATCTGATACATTTCCCATAATTGCTTTGTTACTTAAATGGATTTGAAACTGAAACTCATTATATAAAGTAATATTTAACACTAAAATAAGATAAATAAACTGAATAACTCTCTATGTCAATAAGTAACAAACATTCTCTTCAATTGAAAATCAATTTGAAAAGTTAATGAGTGTATTGCATACTTCAGATGTAAATTCCTCTCTGGCAATGTTTTCTGAACTGAAAAATAAGAGTAAAATACAAATATGTGTAAGGAGATCATTACAAAGTAGTTTTCATCTCTTCAGTTGATTTTGTAGTTTCACCATAAAAAAAATCCATATGATCTAATAACGTATAAAACCGCATGCAATGAATCAGAAATTCCAAACATAAAATTTTTGAATCAACATTCCATGGATCTGTCTGATCCTCAGTCGTCTAAGAAAACAGTAAAGTTGATGACTGCTCACACTATTCTTACCTCAGTGGAATGAGATGAATCTTCAGTAACTTCTTCTTCATTGCTCTCATCCTGACTTGGTGAACTAACTCTCTCGTCTTCTTTTTTAATATCTTCATCTAACATTTTTATAATCTCATTCTCAATAGTCCAATCACTTTTCTAAAATAATAAATAAAAAAAGAAGTTTATACATCATTCACTGACCGTTTGTAGAACTTCGTTTGGATTACTCATGTACGCAAGTTCATCAGGAAAACTTTCATAACCAGTAGCTGTTTTCCTTTCCATGTATTGAAAACCAAATCTGTACAAAAGTTCGCGAACAGCTGATGTTTTTCGATGAATTAATTTGCAATCAGGACACGTGAATACAACATCAAAGTACCGATGAGCAACCATTCCAACATCTTCAAAAAAAATTATTTTAAAAAATTTCTAAAAAATTAAACAGACATAAATCATTTTCCAGAAAAAAAAGCTTGAAGAATGCTTTTCCTATGCTGGGATATGAAATAACCCAATCGTCACTGTGTACTGGAAGACTCCATTCACATGTTTTAGGGATATCTGGCAGGAAGTACTTTAGGTTACAATCAATTATTGATTCATCTATAAAATACAAATAATCATAACACAGGAAATGACATGGAAATTAGATACTTACACTGCTGGCTATCATCGCGAGTTGATACGTCAAAGACTTGAAGAAACTCATCGTCTAAGAGATTATCATTAAATGAGTTTGTGTTCATTTCTCTTTTGAATCTTGAGAACATTGGAAACAGCAGCTCGTCCATGGCCAATATAGAGAATGATAGGATGAAGTATGATGATGAACTGAGCAAGCTAATAAGCCGATTTCCGGAGAAAAGTTATTTTTTCTTTTTAGGGATTGTTGGTCTTTGTTATCAAATACGTTAACAATGCCATATCCTTTTGTTTATTGAATGAGCAGACAGCTGAACTGCTCGTGTCCTTTCCTAATCGTTGAGCATCACTAATCTCTTGTTCGCTCAATGAAGATTAATATGATTTTCATTGAAAGATTATCACTACACTGCAAATGATTCCTTGGCCAGTAGACTCTACGAGACAAACAAAGAGTTTACTCAATGCTGTTATTTACAACCTATAACAGGATATCATACTGAATACAATTTCTATTTCCCGGAAATAAAATTGGCAGGACATCCTTAAAGTTCTATTACAGTATGTTGAATCTAAATTTATATATGACTAATCAAGAACTTTTCAAAAGAGCCACAGGATGTGTCATCTCATATGCCATGTTTTCAGCATCTAGTCATGTATTCTGCCGAATTAGCGGTTGACCCTTGAGAAACTGTGTACAGACTTTCGTTACCTGAAGAAATTCAAATTAAAATTTTTTAAAATCTGGAAACAGATTGTTTGTTGCCATATTCCAAGATATTTCCATAATCCATGTAACTTTTCCTAATCGTAAACAATTATTTTCCTTATATTTCATTTTTGGAAATGCCATAACCCATTAATTGGCTATTACTGATGCTAAATATGATGCAAATGATAAAAAGCACACGCATCATGGATTGCGTATCAAGCGTTGTTGTTTTTGTTACCTAGCAACAAGCATGACGATTCCTTATCCCGGAAAAAAGAAACATTTTTGTAGAAATTTCATTTAAATAAATATTCTTTTTGTTGATAATTTTTAAGAGCTTTCCTCACCTATTCATCAGATTTATCTTTAACAGAATGGATGACTTGCTCTTTCCCATGTTCTCAAAGATTACCAAGCATAACTGGATTAATCCGGCAAATGAAGATATTTTTGATACGAGTTTGTTGAAATTGGATTATTATATGACTCGTACAAATGAGTTTGATGATTGTAAGGTTTCGTTCTTAACGATATTCTAATTATCTGAATAGATCAATATTCAAATGATATTAATGTATGGAAGTTTCTACCTTGTGTCCCAAAAACTTGTCTATATGGTGACATTGTAACACCCGATCGCTGGCAGTACTTTTTTCCACACGTTGGAGGTGAATACAGCGTACTGAGTGATTTGGACCAGCGTCTGAGTGAGAGAACATATCAGTGTCTTACACTTGATTCTTCTGTTAAGAGATACAAGTTGGTATGGAGCGCTTCTTCGGCATTGATTTTCATTGCGTGGATTGTATGCAAAATCATTACTGGGCAACTGAATACTGTGACATTACTTATGTTTATAAGTTCAAACATGATGCCGATCCTGAAACGTTTTATGAAAGTTTTCCTAACGGAATGGCGTTCATTGGTAATCCTCAAGAAATTCTGGAAACAGTCTGTTTAGCTTTTCAATGATAGTATACTAAATTAAAATCTATAGAGAAAAGACTACAGCATTGAAAATGACCTCATCAGAATGCTGGATGAAGATCTTGAACATGAAAAATCAAATGTTCGGTTAAGACGCAATAATCCTGTAGATCAAAACCCACAAGTAATCATCAGGATTTTGTAATTTTTTTCATCATTTATGCTTTTAGCAAGATGATTCCGTTGATGACAGATGGTTCAGTGATCGTTCTTTCCAATTAGCATATTCCTATTTGGTTTATATGGTACGCAACTTTACACTCAGTGAACACCTGGAGTTGTTTTTCGGTAAAACCTCTGTAAAGACTGATGACACCTTTGAAAACACCCTGTAAGCTTAGTTCATTTCTTAGCCAACCTCACTACCTTTATTTAGACTAGGTCACATCATGAGAGATACTATGACGAAAGAAGCTACCGAAGCTCTTATTAACCACATCTACTGAGAAGACACGTCTTATAAGCTTTATTCGATCTCTTTTACTCTTGAAATATTTCCTGCAAGGTTGGGAATAAGGAGTATCTAATCATAGTAATCTTTCTTGTTATCGTAATCGTTTAAGTAATCAAACTGGCTCAGAGCATCAAGGACATCTTTCTCTGAAAAGTGAATAACTAAAGAACTACTCGATTCATACCTATTGTATCTTGTTCAACGGTGTAGTAGTGTGGATTTTCGTTTGTTGTCTCTATTTTTATAGGATGTTGTTTGTTTTGGCTATTTCCATTGTAATAGGAAAGCGGAACTGTCATTTGAGCAGGCTGCCAGTTCTAGAAACAATAAATTATTATTTAAACTATCTTTTTACTTACTTTATTGTTGCCTATATCCCGTGGCGTGTTCTTTTTGAAAGTCAAATTAGAAACTAGCGGTTGTTGCGGAAATAGATAACTAAACCCTGCATGGGGTTTCTGTGTTTCGAAAACTGGAGGGTCCATGAAACGTGCTTGAGATGATGTTGGACGTTCTCTTTCTCGTGTTGATAACATTCTGCGGTTTGATTGATGCATGAATGTGTTACATTTTAGTTATACCTGTTTTCGGTTAAATCGTTTGAGTATGATGCTCTAGATGCAGCTGGATACCGATATGGCTGGTTAAGAGCTGATACAGGTCTTTCTGCAGTCATTTGTCTCTCTTGGAATGATAAGTCGTGAACACTTAAATTCTTTTTTCTTAAAAGTCGACTTTTCCAATCATTACCTCCCAGTATATTTATCATCTCTGTGAGTTCTGTTGAGAGGTGCTTGCTCTACACGCTTCATGTCATTCCTTTTCAATCGTCGAACAAATGGATGCATTTGCTCCGCAGTTCTCAAAATAATTCATCATTTCAAACTTTCATTTTCCAATTCATACCTTTCCGCGTTCAACATAGAACTTTCACTTTTAGCACGTCTCATTCCGCCGTAAGAACGATTATCATAAGAATCACTCATAGGATCTTTCAGATTTGATTTGTATGGACGACCACTCTTTTTTACTGAAAAAAAATGTTTGAAAACGTTTTCTTCGAATACATTACTATCATCAGTATCCTTTTTTGGAGAAAGCATTGTACGATTGACTTTGGCTAGTGTTTGAGATTTAATTTGATTGTTCATATTCTGAAAGAAAAACTATGAATATACATTGCTGTTCTGGTTACTGACAACATTCCTATTTGCTTTAGGTACATCTAAGTTTCGGGAGAACGTGGAGAAACCCTATAGAATTTATTAGTTAGTGATCATCTAATCGTTATTACCATTGGAAGACTGGATGCTGACCTTTGCTTGGTGAAGAATGAGTTCTCTAGGCCATGGTTTTCAGTTCTGAAAGGTAAACGGTGTATTCAGGAGTTTTTTTCATTTTCTTCATTCACTTTCTCGGTTCCCAATCGGAACCAGTAAGTGTCCTCCAAACATCTAGTTCTTCCACCAATACATCGTATCCATCTAACATAGCATTATGTTTTGAGAGCATCTAATTTGGAAAAAAAATTTCTGACAATCAAATGATTACTACCATTTCTAAACTTTTGGGAGAAAAATGAGCCAATGAGGCTTCGATTTTGATCAAGTTCTCATGTGCAGCATCTGGTGCTGATGCTAAAATTTTGTTCAGCAGTCTCACAACCAATACCTATGAGTAGTGTTGGAGAATAATCATACAAAACACAAAATACTTGGATATGAAGTTTATGAGTATGAATTCCATGTTTCAGTTGGTTGATGAATATTCCTAAGCGAAGATACTCCCTTGTGCGAGCGGCCATTGCAGTTAAAGCTCTCATTAAAACAGTAAAACCCTTTTGTTGTTTGAGAAGTAGCAATAAAATCTTATGGAATACTTAGATGAACGGCTCAAACAATCACATACCTCTAATGAGAAACATTTTGAGTCCAATTGTGGACTATAAACAGAGAAGAGAATGGCATCCATTCCAGTTGATGAATCTAAGAAGTATGCCCATCCACGATCTGTTTTTTCTAACAATAATTTAATAATTTCAATACAATCAGCTTCAGCTATCTGTAAGACATAGTTTGAATTGACCATCAAGCATTGAACATCATTACAGCAGCTTTTCGTTTTCTCGTACTCATTTGTGAAATTTCTGTATTTGAAACAAAATCTGCAGATGAATTGATGACTGCTTGAAGCGCTATGATAACTCTTGATAACACATCTAACCCATATAATGGTGGATTAACAATTTCAGTTGAGAAATGCCTGTTTGAAAGAATTTTTTCTATTCAACTGAAAATTATAACATACTTGGAACCATCTCGTAGTATGTTATCCTTGAGCATAAGCAGAAGATATCCGCAATCAGAAATTGTAAATGAGCCTTATGAATCATGTATTTACAAATATTTGAGAATTCAAGTAAAACCTGGTCCAGTGCTATCTTTTGAATGTAAGAATCGTTTGAGGTCTGCAACTATCTGACGTGGAGCAAACTGTTTGTCTGGAGTAACAAACGCCATACCTTCTGAAATGTTTTACAAATAGATTTTCATGAAAATGAAAAATGTGCATTACAGACAGGCGCTCTCTATGCAACATACAATCATCTATATATATAAATACATTAAATTGGAATTGTTGGAGAGAAAAAAAACAAAAAGATTTATGTCTCCACCGTAATTTAGTCTAAGTTGACTAGCATTGAGCGTTCTTAAAACAAATTCAGTCATTTCGCGATTGAGAGTGCAAATAAAGTCTGCAAACATTTATCTTTTATTTACATTCCATTTCGCAGTCTCTTAAAAATAGCGTTCCAAGAAGAAAATACATGAAAAATCGTTTGTTAATCAATGCAAGAAAACATTCATGAGAAAAGAAAAATGAAAAATGTGTATATTATATTCACAAAAATAAGAAAAATTGAAGGAATAATCGTCTGATGTTTGCATAACTGAGCCGAATATTAATGAGATGAATCAATATTAGAGAGATAATAGGGGAGAGGAGGGAAAGTCATTTGCATACTGGTATTATTATTATTATTTTTCAGTTTTTTTTCTTAAAATTTAACATAAATTGCTTTATGTGTATGTATTTTGATGCCAATTGTTTGGTCCACCCATGCGTCCATACGTCATATAACCGTAATAGCCATTTGCCATATTTTGATTATAATATGGATATCCACTGTATGCTATAATATTATTTATTTTATTATTAAATATTATATTTATATAGATATTTACCAGAGCATGTGTTATATCCAATGTTATATGGTACCATCATAGTGGCTTTATCGTATGGCATGATATAAGCGTTCGATTTGGCTGCCAATAACATTTCATGTTCGTTCTGCAAATAACGTTTTTTCATTATTTCTTTTTTTTTCAAATTCTTTGGCCGTCATTTTGTTGGAACCGTTTTCCGGAAATGATTGTTTCGCTTTCAAAAGCCATTTTTTTGTCATTCACACAAACCGGTTCAGATTACTGTCAATTGATGAATTCTTCAGATTCTCACCTTTATAGCTTTTTTAGCAAAATACATGAAGACAGTAGATACCAATAAGAACATTATTCCAATCCATGATGAAACATAAGAGTATCCATGATGGAAACGAGTTGTTGATTTGAGAATCTACAAAGTTTTTTACGTTAGACCACTTAAAGCTTTTAAAGAACTAACTGGTTCCCACGACTTATAGAAAGGAGCTGTTTCTAGTACGGTATGCTCTAAATAATTAACAACGTGCCAACAAACCATGCCGGAAGCGAGGAACATAACTTAAAAAAAAGTTATTTAATATATATATATATAAATATACCTGATAATAAGAGTAATAAAGCTGTTAATGAGACAAGTGAAGATGATCTTCTCCAACAACCAAATATTCCAACAGTTGAGGATATAACAATCAATACAATACCTGTAAAATAGATAATCATATAGATGAATACTGAATGGAATGAATAATACCAAATACATATAGTATAACTGTTGATCTTAACAAGTATAATCTGAGTGTTTCTGTAGATGAATATGTATCTTGTTCAGGAGCAGATGGAAAATAATCTTTGTTGACAATGCAACGAGAGCCAAATTTATCAAAACTGCCAATATCTTTCAAAGTAATTAATGAAAAATTGTTTGTGAAACAATATAAATAGTACCTGATGGAACACTTTCTGGAAAACAAACATGGAAAAGTCCATACGTTCGTGAGAAGTAAGTTAACTGTTGATTGAAAGCATCTTTTAAGCGGATGCTCAAGTCTTGGTTTTTATCCCTTTGAAAACCATTGATGATTTCTCGCCGATTCACCTAAAATCAATTCAAGTGAGTGCTATACATTATTCAAATAATACAATATATAATATATAATATAATACAATAAGGATTTACCTGAAATTCTGTCCAACTATCTGTAACTACTGCAATTCCTACTAGAACAATGCCAACAATTGCAGATACAGTTGCTAATGATAACACCATAGATGATGTCCACATTGTTAAACCCTTAACAATATAAATATTATAGTTAATATGTTATTATATCATTTTAAAAGAATGAAAGGAAAACATCAAAAAAAAGCGAAGACAAGAGAAAAGTAAAATCCGATGTAAGTCAAACAAGTGACCGTTTGCTTGCAGGTATATCTGCGTCGCAAGTGGCTGTGTTGATGACCTGTGGAGATCGGTTTGTCTTTTCTTTTGTTCGCCCCGCCCAAGAGGTCTTAAGATGGTTGAGTATACATGCCACAGCGTAGATGATAAGATGAGATAGAAAGAATGACCTAATATAGTATTCGGATCACATTTACTATTATACACTAGTATTGAATGGCCTTAACCTTTCACAAGATGCAAGATCACTTTAGATGTATGAGATAACTATTCCGTTATAGTTTATCATCTCTATAGTTGCAATTAGCACATTCAAAAGAGTAAGGGGGTGATGAGGGACGGAAAGAGGGTGAGAGTTGGAAAATAAAAACAAAATGAAGGGCAAATGTGTGGTATTGAATGAGAATGGATGAAGGCGAGAAGAGAACAACTAGAAACAGTTAAACAACATAGATTTGAGTAACGAAATTCTTTAAAACTTTTCAATTAGCATGAAAGATGTTTGTCATTCTGTTAACAAGTTTATTATATTATAACTTGCTGTAATGCAATTGAAAATATAAAAAAAAATAAAAAACACTTTGAATGTTCGGAGAGAAAACGTGTTACGTCATGCCATGCCTCTTGCCACATGAAGAAGTAAAGAAGAGTTGGAGAATTCTTCTCAAGGACAGTTACATTGATGCGATCATATATTACGCAGACAGTGAGGGTCATTGCGAATGAATGTTAGCATCAAGGACGATTATAGTAAATGAAGAATAGAAATTGTACTTTTTGCATGAGAATATGAATAGAAAAAAACAAAAATAAGTAATGAAAGGAGCTTTGAACATCAAAGATATCCGCTATAGCTGGCAACAAGTAAATATATTTTCTTTGAAACAATCCAAAATGGTTATATAGTGCAGATGGTGAGGGGTGGGTTGAGAGCGTTTGCTTTAAAAGTATTCTTAACTCATTTGAAAATGAGTTTTTTTCACACGCCCTCTCATTTCTATCTCTCCTGTTACTCACTACAAATGCACAAAGCCGCATCCCTTTTCAAAAAAAAATTTTGGCGCCAAAAGCATTTGACTATCAGCGTCCACTCACATTTATATTTGTGAGGGTCGGCCAGATGGTCCTCGACCATATGTCAAACAGCGGCATCATTAAGATTTCCACTAAAATGCTTACATTTATCCAAAAACACTTTTACATTGTTTCTTCGTCGGCTATATTTCTTATATCTTTCTATTCATTTAAATGTTTTTTTCCTTTCTATTCATATATCAAAGAGCGTCCTTCCTTTTGCGTAATTCTTTGCCATTGCCATTCAGCCTTAGTGTTCGTATTGATTTATCGTCTACAATCATAGTTATTATTATTATTGATTGATATTTTTTAAGTTTTTTCTCTTATTTTTCCACACGCTAACCATGTCGGTGGTTTCCGCCGGAGGACGCCGTAGTGGTTCGCGTAGCTCTGGACGTGATATGCGTTGGGCACGTAGAACAGCTCAATCAGATATTGTTGAACCATTTATCCCAAGATTCTCAGCAGTATTAAATGAAGTAATTAAAATGTTATTATACAACTTGCCTTATTCATGTTATTATTAGGGAAGAACTGTTTCACCACCCAAGAATGAATGGGGCGAGAACACAACAGTGTTGACTGGTGCTACAAGCGAACTTTCTTTTAATGAGCCAGATAAACCAGTTTTTGAAGTTCCTGTTGGTAGGCTTATAACTAAAAAGTTTCTTATTCACATTCTGCCATGTACTAATATGATTATTAAGATGTTCTCGTTTCTGTTGGCTTATGTTAGCCACGTTGATCTCTTTTCTTGCAATTATATCAGCTCCACTTATGTGTTCAATTCCTTTTATTCTTGATTTGTATATCAGAGAGCAACCAGTGACCGTATGCGATGTAAGTATCTCTTGTTTACTATTCTTGTTAATCGATTGCTTACAGATGGATTGCCAAGGATATCTTTTATTGCTAGTAATCAAAACATTTTTGCTTATTGTTGCTTTAAGTGCGCTGCATTGGAGAAAAGCAGCAGCAGATTTTCCAAGATTGTAAGTTGTACTCCGTTTACGATTAATGATCTACGTGCTTCTAGATACTTTGCCAGAATCTCTTTAACATTTTTTGTGGCTTTTATTCTATTTGCATATTGGCTCTTCTTCTGTGTTCGTGTATTGTTTGAGCAAAGAGAGAATTATACATATATAGTAAGGCTGCCAAAAAACGACTGTAATTACATGTTTTATAGGTCACATTCTCTTTGTCTCTGCTGGATGCATTACTATACTCTCATTATATTTCCGTTATCGTCCTAGAGCTTCGTAAATTACGTCCTATGTATACGGTTACTATTGTGCGTGATCCCGATGGAGAAACCCATAGTGTCAAGATAGGTGGGGTAAACACATTTTTATTAAGAAAAGTTTGGTATTAAAGGTGAAATGGCATTACAAGAAGCGGGTATTGAGATTCTGAGAGTTTATAACACCGTCTTTAGTTCTTTCAATCCAGCCCTTCATAAGGTGAGTAATTTCAAATCACTATTAGTTATAACGCGTTTAAGGTCAAATTCGGTAAGCCAAACGTTATCTCGGCTAACTCGGGAGGTTTCAAAATGTATAACATCGAAGGATTCGATAATCCGCGTGACACTCTAAGTGAAGTTAATGCTCGAGCATTGCTTGAGGCGGCTAGTCGAAGAAGACATACTGGACATAACGAAATGCTTCAAGATGAAGTGGAATGGGACCGTCGGTTGAAAAAACGAAAATATCGTTTGATTGTTTCGACGGAAGATGCTTTTGCTCATGTTCAAACATATAGACAAACGCCCGCGAACCAGACCAGAGAAAATGTAAGATTTGTTTGGATAATGAACTTAAAAAGAAGACGACATATCTCTCAGGTTCTCGCTGATCCAATGGATTCATGGACTGCAGCTCAAAGTGTATTCACCCTGATCGTGCGTCCGCTGAACAAATATCTCAAGATCACTCGTCAACTTCATAAACATTCGTCCGATTCTGTTACACAACACATAGAAAGGTAATTAGAACTTGTATTGTTCTTTCAAATTGTATTTGTTCTTACAGATGCCTGAGTCTCAAACTAAGCGCAAGAACATTTCTGCAACGTTTTTTCAGTGCACGTTATCCATGTGGTGTAAGATCATTGAGATGAAAGGATCAACCTAATCTTAACTTATTTACAGATTTTCAATGATGAATCGAAATGGTCTATAATATCAGATGAGCAAGCCTGCTCTCCAGTTCAGCACAACACAACTTTTCTACTTCGTTCTCATACGAAGGTAACAATTTGTAGTTTTAGTTTATCGAAGTCAAACTCACTGTTTCAGGATGATGATGCTGGTGTGCAGCTCTTGTGTACTGTAACCAGATTGCCATTCTTCAACTTGACTGAGCAGTCGAATATTTCTTTAGGCAAATTTGCTTTAAAGGTACGTAATGAATCTTCCGTGTGAATAAACGCCATGATGATCCTCAAACTATATATCTCGATCTATCTCATCTCATCATTGTATAATTGAATTTTATTAATTGTTTTGTAATATTGCGAGGTTATTAATTTATTATATGATTATTAGTTTTGAGAATATTATATTCTCTAGGATAGTTACAAATTGTCCTAATTACAATTTTTCTGGATTAAAGTTTTCTAGTGGTCTGATTAATCGTTCCCAAGCTGCTTTGGGGTTTTGTAACAGGTCGGTTAAAGACAAGTCCATTGATCGGGAAGATGTCTCAGGTTCAGCTTCTTGCTTCTTTGCTTGCTTTTCATTTTCTTGATTCTTCAAAACACTACAACAGCAATTAATAGAATCTTGGTCTATGATGCATTGTTTTACCGTCTAGCAAAGACTTCTTTCTCTGTTGGCCAGTCACAGTCTGGTCCTTGATACAATGGCTTTGGACTGTTCCAAAAAGCTTTACCGCCAAACCCTTTGCTCTCCATGAATTCAGTGACTTCCTTATTGTGTGTCTGAAACAATGCGTTGTAATCTTTTACTACCTTGACCTATTTTTGAAACACCAAGAGTGAAAATGTCACATTCTGACCTTGACACTCTTTGTTATCAGGTACCGATGAAAAAGTTGTTTATTACCTGGAAGAAAGTTGATGGGTCCCTAGCATATACGGAGAAAGACATCTTGCTGGAATCTGTCGTTATGAAGTATTCAATATCGTTCTGGGTCTCGTTGGAAGATGCATCGTAATTCGGACCGCATCCAATGATGTTTACTGTAAAATATGGATTAGAAATTTTAAATGTGGTTATTCATACATTGTTTTGGATAAAAGTATTCCTCAGTGTAGATCCAGTATTGTCCTGGGCCAACCTTGCTGACATCTCTCTTATAAGTCTCGATTGGACCACTCTTTGAAATCACACGGTAAGCTTCCTCCATTGAAAATCCACCTTCACCCATAATAGGATTGGAGCTGACTTAAAAACTTCATTAGTATTGAGTTTAGGAAGCTTTTGCTTACAATATGAGATTGGACAGTACATTTGATTCTTGAGATTATCAAAGTTAACTGAAGCTTTGTACATCTGAAAACAAACATACACATCAGTTCGAGAAAAAAAAAGTAAACCTGGAACCATTTTCCCATTAATTGTTCCTCAGGCACATTGATATATTCAACTTTGCTAGTAAGCATCTTGCCTAATCCAGAAAACAGTCCTGTGATAGCATTAATGTTCATCTGTTGATTTTGAGTGATGAGCATTATCACGATATAATAAACTCACTGAATTCTCTCCAATGGCATATGCACATTGTGACACAGCGAATAGAACAACAACCGTCGACAGCCGCATATCTGGATAGATGAATGTGGAAGAATGACGGGCCTTATTATAAACTAATTGTGATCCAAAAGTCAAATGTCCTTGAGAAAAGCACGAAAATAGTCGCGACCTAGTTTAACAAACAATAGAAAGCTTGTGAAAAATAGATTTATAGGTCAGTGGAAGATGATTCTATTTGGTTGATTGCAAGTTCATAGAGAGGTTCAAAATCAGAGGACTATAAGTGATTTACTTGATAGTCTCTCAATTGATTGGTTAGCAGAATAATAACAATTGGAACAGTTTGAGAATTGCGTTGATCTTTCAGCATGGAAACAATCGTTGATTTCATTTTTTTTTCTTCCTTGGTTATCGTCATGTATGTTTGAAAACGGTATGGAGCTGACAAACTCTCAGTGATGGTTGTCAAGGAGAAATTTCTTTTGTCTTCAATCCATCAACATATTCTTTTCAAAAAAAACACTCACTATCATATTCAGGTCTCTGTTGTATCAGGATGATGTATTAAAGGTGTTTAGAAGATTATAAAGAACATCCTTCCACAATGTCTTCTTACGGCGAATTCGATACTGTTTCTGACATCTTTAGTAGCTTCCTGATCCTCGCTACTACTCATCTTCTACGCTTATTCTGAATTAAAAGATAAACCTATACTTCATTCATAAAAAAACAAAATTATGATTGTTAAGAATGAACTACGGATTAAGAACATCCGATACAGCTACTTCCTGACAAAGGAATTTGGTTTTATTGATATAATGAGTATATGGATATGAATAATACAATAATAAGTAAAAAGATAT